ACTTTTAGTTGGTAGGAGACTTAAACTCAACATTTTCAGCGACTGCTCTGCCTTTGTCAGGATCAGGTGGAATTCTGTCCTTGTTTCTCAGTTTTGTTTTGTTTTGCTTGGTTTTGTTTTCAGATGGAATCTCACTCTGTGGTCCAGGCTGGAGTGCAGTGGCACAACCTCAACTCACTGCAAACTCTGCCTCCTGGATTCAAGTGATTCTCCTGCCTCAGCCTCTTGAGTAGCTGGGATTACTGGCATATGCCACCACACCTGGCTAATTTTTGTATTTTTAGTAGAGATGGGGCTTCACTGCTTTGGCCAGGCTGGTCTCAAACTCCTGACCTCAGGTGATCCTCCTGCCTCCACCTCCCAAAGTGCTGGGATTACAGGTATGAGCTACTGCACCCAAACTGTTTCTTAGTTTTTTCATCTGTAAGATGGGGAGAATGATAATACATACCTCAATGGGCTGGGTTAAAAAATCGCAAAATATTTAGAATAGTGCCTGGCATAGAGTAAGTGTTAACTATTATTATTATTATTCCAGAGAAAAAAAGAAGGCATCAAACCTACTATGAGGGTATCAGGGAAGGCTACCTGGAAGAGGTGGTGTTTCAGCTAATGACAGATGAGGTAGTCCTTGCATGATCTTGAACTCCTCTGCTTGGACATTTACCAGTCTAGAAGTTTAATATGCTATACCCTGAACAAGTGTGCTAATTTTAGAAAACTATAAAGAAGAAAACAGAAAACAGCCATAATCTCATCTTTGCATTGATTTCATTCTAGATTACTTTTATCTCTATTTTTAACTATATTAATTGATAATCTGTATACGCAGTGTGTGTCTGGCTAGAAAAATGTTATTTCTAAAAAGTATTTGCATATTTATAGGAAATAAATATCTGAATGGGGGAGAAAAGCCTAAAAATATTAACAGTGGGTATCTTTGGAGGGGGGATTATCAGTCATTTTTCTGGTGTGTTTTTTGGTCATCAGAACTGTCTACTTTCCCTCTCAAGATTATATATTAGTTTGTGTCATTTAAAAATGTCATTTAGTCTGGGCACAGTGGCTCATCCCTGTAATCTCAACACTTTGGGAGGCCAAGGCGGAAGATTTGCTTGAGGCCAAGAGTTTGAGGCCAGCCTGGGCAACATAACAAGGCCTTGCCTCTAAATAAAAAATTAGCCAGGCCTGGTGGTGCACACCTGTAGTTCTAGCTCCTTGAGAGGCTGAGGCAGGAGGATCACTTGAGCCCTGGAGTTGGAGGCTGCACTGCACTCCAGTCTAGGTGACAGAGTGAGACCCTGTCTAAAAATAAAAACTAAAAATATTATTTAAAATGTAATATATAGAACTCAGGAACCGCAGATGCAGAGTCTCATAACCTTTACATTTTCAGACCATGAAGGAGAGTGGGGTAGCTCGGCCGGACTCTGAGCATCCTGGACCCACAAGTCTGAGAGGCTGCATGTGACCTCCAGTGTGGTCACACGGTTCTATAAGGAAACCGAGGCAGGACATAAGGCTTCACTGAACACTTGTGAAGCGGCGGGGAGGGAGGGGGCAAGGGCCAACTGGGTGATAACAAAGGCTATTGTTAACACCTTGCCCCCAGTGGCACATGAAATGCCACTAACCATGAGGGACTGAGAGACATTCAAACCTGAGGTTTGGGGCATGGCGCCCTTCCTGTGACTTCAGTGCTAATGATGTCTAAGACACCTCTTAGCTCCTACTTCTGTCTTTCTGCACAGGCTTCACTCTCCTTTGCCCGGACTATTTTAGTAGCCTGTGAACAGGTCTCTGCACCCTCATCCCCAGTCTGCACCGTCGTGGTGCTCCCCTCCTACACATACATCTCCGCTTGGCTCCCCCGTGCCACTGACCCCTGGCATGGATCCTCTCCCGTCTCCCATCACCATTGCTACACCTGTCCCACCATCCTCCCAGCTCAGTGACACCTGCTTCTCCAGGCCTTTGCACACGGCATTCCCTCCTACCACTTCTCTGCTTGGTCCATTCCTACTCATCTTTCCATCTGATCTCGGGGGAGACACGTTTTCTCTGAGGAGCTTGCCTGGTTTGCCCTGATCCGCACTGGGCTGGCACAACCTGCTTTCCTGTCTGTCTGCCCTGTGAGATCCCCGGGGCCATGGCTGTGACTTGTTCACCTTGTTCTTGGTGTCTGGCACCTGGGGGTGGGGTGGGGCTCTGTGTTTGGTGAATGAGTGAATGAATTCTGGCCAAGGCCTCGAAGACACCCAGCCCAAAGAGCTGCGTGGGGTGGTGTGGCCCAAATGCTGTGTTTGGACACCAGAGAGCCCACATTGCTGCCAGCCGTCAGGGTGGGCACAAAGGAGGGTGGTCCAGGCCGGCTCCAGGGCTGCCGCACTCCCTTCCCATGATACGTCCTCCGGGCTGGGCCCAGGGCAGGCCCTTTCTGTGGGTGAATATAAATATATAAAACAAACAGCGCACTCTTAGCTGTAAAACTAAAAATAGGAAGCGCGGGATCCGGCTTCCCAGGCTTCCCCAGCCGCTGGACCACACAGGTGTGGCTGCGGATGTCGGGGCGATGCGGCCCCTCACCCCTCCCAGCTCCGGAGCCCTCATGGGGAGGAATCAGGAGCATTCTGGATTTCTGCCAGGAACAGTTCATTCTTTCACTCTGGCCTCCCTCCTGCCCCCATCCCATTTGACAGCTCATTTCATTTACGACCCCAAAATGAACTGACCCACTGAGGCGTATTCTCTACTCACGTGGTCAGGCTGGGGTGTTTGGGGCAGCTAAGAGCTGCCCTCTGGGCCATGCTGGGGGGCCGCGTTTATGGGGGGTGCAGTCTGGGGCAAGGGAGGGGCCGGGGCTGAGGAGGGAGGCAGGGCTGGGCCTGCAGCCAGCCCTGCCCTCCCCGACAAACAGCACTGGCCCCGCCCCGCACTATCTCCTCAAGCCCTCACCAGGCCCTCACATGGGAACGTGTCATCTCTGGCCTATGGTCTCACTGCTGGGACACCCACTTCTCAGCATAAAAGCCAGATGCATCCCTATGGCCACAGCCCGACAGTGGCAGGGCTGCTCCTAGGGGCCGGCAAGGAGGGTCCATCTGGGCCACTTCACCCCACAGGAGGCCACTTCTGGGAGCTCCCAGGACACCCAGCCGGCTCTCTGGGTCCATCACTGGGTCCTTCAAGCTGTGGGGGCTGGAGAAACTGGAGGGACTCAAAGTCCAGCCCAAATCGACAGGACTCCTAGAGCCTCCAAAGCGGAATTCTGGAGTCCAGGGCTCTCGGACTGTGGAACCAAACGGCTTCCTCAGCCTGGACTGGCTGCTGCATGACCTAAGCTCCTGCTAGTGGCTCAGGGGACACGTGGGACTGGGCCCAGGGTCCAGGAGGCCAGGGTTGTAGGACTATGAAAGTCAACCCTTCCTTCAAGCCAGGTACACCCCTGTCCCAAAGCAGACGATCATGGGGCGTGGGATCCTACTCCACACCTGGCATACAGCCGGTGCTCATTTAGTGTATGGCCAAAAAGGGAGACTCAGAGCGGGACAGGCACCTCCCACCACCACGCAGCTCAGGAAGAGAAAACCTTCCCCACATCAAGACCTTTCGCAGGCCCTTCGGGAATGCATCACCTGAGGTTGGGAAGTTCTTCTTAATACCTAACCTCAATTCTTGCTGTAGCTGACGCAGCCTCTCCTCACCCCTGTCCAAAAGGGATGATGGCCACTCTGTCCACCTGCTGCCCAGCGATGCCGCCCCCTGCCGCCACCTGCAGGCCGCTGTGGCTACTGCAGCGCTTCCTCCCGCAGCCCTGGGACCTCAGGCAGGCCTGAGACTTCTCTGGACCTTGAGTTTCCCCTTGGCAAGCTGGGTGTGCTGGTTCGTGCCTGCTAGGGTGCAGGTGATGGAGATTTAAGTCAGGGACTCTGGAGGTCACAGCTCTTCTCCCATCTGCTGTGGCACCAAAGTGTGCCTGGTGAGGGGTGGCTACCATCCCCTACAAAGTGACCCCAAATAAACATAAATAGAAACGGTCTTGGCCATGTAGATGCCGTTTCAGGACCAACCCTGGCAGAGGCTGCCCAGAGCAGACCCACAGAGAAGTTCTACAGCTGCTGCCGAGGTCCTGTCCAGAGATGGACCTGCTGTCTCTTGGGTAAAAGAGGATGCCGGGCTAGGGAAATGGAAGCTTCTTGTTGGGTGCTGAGTTTCAAGCAGACCAACCAAACTGAACAGGGCAAAGCTTTGGGAGTGATTTCTGAAGTCAGTGGGCATCACTCAAAAATAAGGTCTGTTTCATGAACATTTCCCTTCACAAATCCCAACCAGCCACGCTCCGGGCTGTGTGCTGGTACAAATCTCAAGTGGACCAGGCCTCCTTGCTGGCAAGGTGGGAGGGGGACTGTCAAGTCAGGCCACCACACCATCACACCCATGCTACCATTGTTGGGCTGTGGTCCCAGTTCAGCCATGGACCACCCCAGGGAGACACAGACCCTGATGACACTCCCTCTTTGTACCTCAGTTGTCTCATCTGCAAAATGGGGGCACTGGAATGGCTGCTTGCTCCCAATCCCCACTGTTGCTAGCTTGCCACAGATCTTGAAACACGAGCCTCAGAGGGGGGCTCTCACCAAGGCAGCTGGACTCTCCCTCTGCCTCTGCCCCCTCCCCAAATCTGAATCTGGGGAACAGGCAGGAATTCCTCCCAACATGGCTGGGAAGAGAATCACAGCCCGCTCATGATTGGTGGCACTTGGAAGACCTATTTGATGCTCTCCTGGGGTTCCAGTCATACAGGAGCAGGCCTCGCCGGCTGTCCTGCAGCCAGGGTGGTCTCTGTGGCCATTCCTGAAGAAGCTGGAAGCAAGGAGATGAAGGCGCTGGGTGTCTCTGTTCCTGTTCCTCCTGGGCGACAGCAGGAGGTCTCTATCCTCTCCCCAGCCCCACCCCACCTCCACGCATAGCCCTAGAAGCCTGGCACTGGACTCCTTCCACACATCTCAGAGTTATATCATTGTAACAAATCAGTCAAAATTCCATTTTACAGTTAAATAGTACAGAAGACAGTTTACTGTACAAGCAAGTTGTGCATTAAAAACAAACACCAAGCAAATGATAGTGCAAAGCAGTTTCCACCCTGCTCCATCCTCTCGCCAGCTCTGGGATGGTTTTACATGGGATATGAGTGCAGCAGGTGTCATACCTCAGCATGACAATGTGTCACAAAAGATTGGTACCCACTACTGACAGACTCACAGTAACACTGTATCAAAACATCTTCCTTTCCTCCTGCTTCCTATATCAGTGTGTTTGCCTAGTACAACTTTAAAGCAGCCTTGTAAATAAGGACCTACTTTTACCAGCCCAGGCTGTCTGTACCCACTTTGCGCCTTACAGACTCAGTACGGCTGCCATCACTTTTTGTCAGGGGATGGGGGATGGGGTAGGAAGAGCAATTTATTTCCTATCCCTGCCTCTCCGGGGCTTGGGGATCAGGAAGGGGTAGTAATCTGGGATGAGACTACAAAGTGCTGAGCACTGGGAACCCAAAGGTGCCTCCCACGATGACCTGGGACCAGCTACAACCAGAAAATAGGAGGGAAGAAACTACAAGGACAATGGATTCATCGCTGCTTCCTGAGAAGGTATGGAAAGGCCCCTTGGGTGCAGGGAGTCAGCAGCTGTATTGAAGAGATGGAGACTGTTTTTCCAGTGAGGACAGGCCAAGAGGAAACCGCAGCAGGAGGGAATGGAATAGGATCACCAGAAGGACTGCCTGACCTGTCGGTGTCTCTGGTGTATGGTTCTGGCCGTTGTGACAAGTTGGGTGGGGACAGTGCTCTCACAGAGACGACCGCTAAAGAGCATTCTGCGGGGCAGATTTCCGCGTCCACAGAGGCCGAGGCAGAAAGTTAAAATACCACATGCTGCTAGTCTTTGAGTTCCCTTACACCTTTTCTAAGCCTTTCTAGGGCCAGAGAACTCTGATGTGAGAATCCACGTGGCCTGGCCCTTGGGCAAGCGCCCACCTTCCCGTTTTGCAAAATTCAGGGTCAAGACTTCACCTCGGAACGCAGTGCAGCTGAGCTGTGGCTGGAGAGCCCTTTACGGTGCTTCTGTTCTGCCACGCACAGCCAGTGCTCCCCACCTCTCACATCCTGCCCACCCCCGCACAGCCTCCCGGACAGATGTCCTAGAGCCACAGAGGAGAGCGCCCAGCGTCTCATCAGCATTTCCGTTGTCCTCCCAGGGATGCCTGTGGTGCAGGCTGGTGGGACGCTGCCTGGTGGGGAGTGTAGCCCCTTGAGAAAGTATTGAGACCCTGATAACCCCACACCCTCAGGAGGTAGCTGAGGTTCCGTGGGGGGCGGAGAGGGGGCAAGGGTGGTGCTCATAATCACGGAGCTATACCTGTAGGAGAACTTGTGTTTGAAAATGTTAGATTAAGCTTCTTTTTCTAAAATCAGTTTTAAAAACTGTTTTTTTGCTCAGGACTGTTTGCTTTCAGAGCACAAAACAGGTTAAAGACAGACAGGTGTGTGTCAGGAGTTGCAAGATTTGGCTGGATCCTCCCAGGAGGCTTGGGGGATGAGGCGCAGCTTGGCTGGACCTAGGTGGGACAGGGACATTGACGTCTGACCCAAAGTGACCCCTCACCTCAATGCCTTCTGCTAGGACCTATCTGGCCCCCCGTTTTCTCCACAAATGGAGATTATGAGACCACCTAGGGGAGAGGGGACCTCCTACCCACCCAGCCCCGGCAAGAGAACAAAGGGTGGATGCATTGGGCTGGTAAAGTGCATGGAGGAGTCGGTCTGTAGGTGCTTTCCTGGGTTTAGGGACCTGATGCCATAGACTCATCTTCTCTGGGGCCTGGGACCCATGCGGCTGGGGGAAAGCCAACAGTTAGGAATGGAGGGAAGCTGGGCTGGGGGGACTGGCTTGGATGTGTTCTCAAATCATCTCTGCCAGCAGCGTGCTGGGTCCTGCCCCGTCTGTACGAGGGGAACCCCGCTCGAGGGCGGCGCGGGCGGGGGACACTTTCCAGTTCTGACTCAAATCTGTGTAAATGCAGAGAGGACTGGACCCAGGGGTGTAGGGGCTCCGACGAAGGTGCGGGGTGGGGAGGTTTCCCAGGGCCTGAGGCTTATCCTGTGGGCCAATGCTGCCTCTCTCTGGAAGAGAGACGGCCTCTGTCCCAGGAGACACGGGCCCCATGGGGCACTGGGCATAGCTGGAGACAGTGAGGTTCTTCTGGGGAGCTGGCAGGAGGCTGATTCCCCACAGAAGTGTGGGATGAGACAGCCAGGATCTGGGCGAGGTGGTGTCCTGGGCGGGGGTGGGGGTGGTTCCCTACACCTCTGTACATGGATGTGGCTGGACAGATGCAGCCAGAGCCACCCACCAGCTGGGACCACCCTGGGACCAAGACCACCCTGGAGCGCAGGTCCCATTCCTGCCCGGAGCCTCGGAGCCAGAGCCAGCCCATCATGGGTCTTGAAGGTTGTAAGGGTCCCCGCCTCCAGCGGGAGGAGTCCACCGGGGCGGTCAGTAGGGCCGCCACACGGCCTCATCCATGCGGCCCGGCGTGCTCAGGGCCGTGGGTGAGTTGCTGTGGCTGCCGTCGGCCTCCACGCCATCGCTCTGGCCGCCCAGGCTGGGGTTCATGAGGTTGCCGGCGGCGACAGAGGCAGCGCTGCTGGTGCAAGAGGCCAGCATGCGGGTGGGTGAGCGGTCGCCCCCACTGCTGCTGCCGGCCACCATGGAGAACTGATAGGAGCCAGAGGACGTCCCATAGTAGAGGTGGTAGGGAGACGGGTTGGTCTGGAAGGGCCCGCTCTGGTTCTGCGGGGCCCCCGGGTAGGGTGGCGGGAGGTAGGTATGGTGGAAGCGGCTGGTGGCCGGCATGCCCGCCACGCTGAGGCTGCTGATGCTCGTGCCCGAGGGCGTGGCGCTGTAGGGGAAGGCAGCTGACATGGCCCCGGGGTAGTGCATCCTGGGGTCTGGGAAGCGGCTCTCCGTGAGGGCTGGCAGCGTCGGGAAGGAGCGGTCAAACTGGCGGGGGTCAGAGAACGGGTTCAGTTCCGAGGTGCCTGGAGGACAGCGAGGAAGAGGTCAGCTGCAGCTCGAGACGACCCCAGGAGGCCTTCCTGAAGAATGCCCTTGGGCTCTGGTTCCCAAGGCCCATCTGGGGGACCCCTAGTTCTAGACCTGACTCTCCTCTTCCTGCCCTAGGCTGCCCAGGGACTCCCCTGCCAGGACTCCGAACACAGACCTGCCGGGGAGCTGGTGGAAGCGTGCCCTGGGCCAAGAGGGGCCACGGGAGCACCCCCACCGGCGGCAGCAACAGAAGACCGGTGGGGTCTTGTCTTCTCTTTCAATCCTCCTGCCCAGCCTCGCAGAGGACAGGCCTAGGACGAGGCAGTGGGGCTGAGGGCAGGGTCAGCTCAGGCCTCCCAGCAGCCCTGCCCAGGCAAGTTCCTCTCCCCACCGGCCCGTGTTAACAGCTGGCAAGGCTGTGGATGTGTAAAGGGCTCCGATGACCGTGTGAGACTGGGAGTTGGAACCCGCTTTTGAAGACAAGAAAATGGAGGCAGAGAGAGCAAGACTGAGTCTCTGTGGCAGAGAAAGGACTGGTTCTCATCACGAGGCCTCTGCTGGGGACACACGTGCCTCTCCTGCCCAGGTGCAGCACACGGAGGTTCTGTGCGCTCACACCTGGGTTGTGGGCACTGAGGTCAGAGCAGCTCTGGCCTCCACCTCACCCTGGGCCTGTGTTTCTGGAGCTGACTCGTGGCCACACAGTGACTGGATGCCACCCTCACCTGCCTCGGCAACAAAGTGAGACAGCAGTCAGACAAACTTGGGGACCCAGACCCCGACCTGGTCACAGTGTCCAGCCCAGACCCTGCCCCTGCTCCCCCAGGAATGTGGCTTCTCAATGGGCTCCAAGGCAAGGGTGTTTCATCCTCTGTCCCCCACTTTTGTCATCACAGACCCCCAAAACCTCAGCATTCAAAAGGGCTCGGGGATTGAGTCTAACACCCTTGGTGGGAAAACTGTGGCCCAGACAGGGTGAGGCACTTGCCTAAGGGTCACACAGCACATGGACCTGGCACACAATCTTAGGGTCTCTGGTCCTGATCCCCAGCACATGCATGAGTGGGAGCTGTCCGTCTTGGAGGCAGCACAGGATCAAAGCTTACTGTGTGGCTTCTGGAGCCAGACAGTTATCCTGGTTTGGACACTTACTAGCTTTGTGTCCTTGGGCAAGCCACTTAACCTCTCTGTGCATCAGTTACCCCATACAAAACACGAGACGATAACAGTTCATCGGGATTCAGTTAATACACATCAAGTACTTAGAATGGCACTGGGCACAGAGTAGTGGTCCATGAGGCTTTGCAAGGCCACTGTGGCTGCGGTGCTTGTTGCTCTGGGTACCCAGGAGAACTGGCTTATTCAGGGCCCTGCCAAGTGGAGGCCCTGGTGTGGGGCCTCCCTTGTACTCTGGCGGCGGGGGGAGGTGGATGAGCCCCTAGCAGTGGTCCAGAGGCGCAGTCTGTCCAGCCAGCAACCCCTCTGTGTCACCCACCAAAGGATAAGGGCCGGTGCTGGGGGGGGGCTCTGCCTGCCATGCCGAGGCTTGACTGAGGACGGAGAGTTATAAGCCTGAGGTGCTGTGTGACTTAGGCTGGGACTTGGAACTTCTCGGGGCTTTGGGGTTTTCCCAAGTCAGCTGGCGTTATGTTTCCCTCAGCAGCGGACTCCGGCCCTGGGCGTGGATCGGAACGGAGCGAGGCTCCTGGCTTAAGGTAAGAAGATGTGGGGACAGCAGTCTGGGTGGCGGGGGCCTTCTGGGATATCTGGGATGCTCCCTAGTAGGTCCCTGCCCCTGGAGGCCGAGAGCCTCCGAGGCGCCTGGCTGCCAGTTTTCATCTGGGGAGCCCCTCGGTGGGAGAGGTCCCGTTGCAGGTGCCGGGCACGTCAGCACAGCTAAGATGGGCGGGGTGGAAGTGGGTGCTGGCCGCCTGATGGGAACCCCATTCTCAAGACGAAGGAAACAAACGGAGACCCCAGGATGCAACAGCAGGACTGTGCCCCTCAGAGCTCATGCGGGCTGCAGGGCGCTGGGCTGGGCCTCCCTGGACCTGCCACCGTCCCCTCCAGCCTCTTTCCTGAGGGGCGTGGACCACTCCTCCTGCGGGGTGGTGGGGGAAGTACCTGCCCTCAGCACTCCCTCAGAAGCCCCCAGCAGCTTCCTCAGAGCTCCTGTACCCCACCCCGCAGCCTCGCAGCCCCAGGAAACCCGAGCTGCCCAGGGCACTGTCGAGCGGCCAATCCCAACAGTGGAAGGAAATGTTTATTTTCTTCTCCAGATTGCCCCGGCTGCTGCGTGGTGGCTGAATGAGCCCTTTCAGCTGTGAGAAGCCCCCATTGTGGGCGGCTGCGGCTGGGGGCTGGGGCTGGGGTATGGGAGCGGCCGGGGTCTCTGCACTGCTTGCCAGTGACCAAGGTTGGGGGGTCAAAGCAGTTAACAGGCACCGAGGGAAGTGATAGTGGGGTGTCCCGAGGGGGATCCCCAGGAGGGAGTCTGAGGGCAGAGGGAGGGGGGCCTGTGAGAGTCTTCCCAAGCCTGGGTCTGCCAGCAACCCCTCTTTGTTAGGGACCTCCTTCTCCCCACTTCACAGATGAGAAAACTGAGGCTGAGTTTAAGTGTCTTGTCTGAGATCACACAGCCAATGCCTGGCAGAACCTGAATTCCTAGCCTGGTCCAGCTGACTGCAGAGTTCATGCTCCTGCCTGTCCTGGTCATCCAAGGCCCTTTCTCTCACCCAAAGGGGATAGGCCTGAGGACGGAGAGGTCTGGCTGCCTGTGGCCCAGTGCTGTGGGGGGCTAGCAAGGGACGGGGCCAGGCCTCAGGAAGAAGCAGGCAGAGCAGCAGAAGTCAGCCACTGCCCCACACAGGCTGGGGCTCCTTTCCTCCCAACCCAGGGTGGAAGCAGCAGCTGTGCCTGCTGTGGCGCCAGGCACTGATTCCCAAGCTGTGCCCACCCAGCGGTGGATGGGCAGATGTGGGCTCTCCTTCCATGGGGGCTGGTGGACAGGAAGCCACTGTTCACCCCACCTCCTGGATTCTGGCTCCCCCGCTGGGCCCTGATCCCCTGGTCTGGCTCTGTCCATGGTGGGGAAAGGTTGGCTCTCAGGCTACCACACCTCGACAGATGCTGGCCTGTGGGCAGCAGGAGCAGGGGCAGCTATGGGGCAGGGGTGGGCGTGAGCACAGTGTACAGGGCTCCTTCCGATGCCTCTTAAGAACAGACCTCCAACTCATGGGCTCAAGAGCTGAGAGTCTCAAATGCACTAGTTCCTGGGCTCAGAGAGGCTGGGCCTGGGGCTTCTGCCCACCTTGGTGTCTCAGCTGGACCAAGGCCGGAAGTCCTGAGCTCAGGCCAGAAGGGGAGGGGTCCTCTCTTCACACTAAAGGCCTGCATCAAGCCCCCGGCTGCTGCACTATGCCTGGAACAATGTCAGTAGAGGGACCCAGTTGGCCCCCACCTCAGTGTGGCACTGGAGAAGGGGGTGGGGCAGGCAGACCGGTTGGCAGCCCTTTTCCAGGCCCCCTTGTCTGTCCCCTCAGAGGTACAGAAAGTTTTTGGGAACAGGTACTGTGGAGACTCTGGACCTGGTCACAGATGGGCTGTGTGACCCGAGGGTGGCTCTGAACCTCTTAGGCTTCTCAATTCATTCATCTGCCACGGGGTTCTAACCAGGCCCGGGGGAACTGAGAAAGAATGGGCACAGCCAGTGATGGCAGCCAGCCGCCTGCCTCCGTCCACCAGGCTACCAAGCACCCTTGGCACCCCACCTAGCCCGAGGGCCGGTTGTGCACGCAGCCTCCCGTGTCCCCAGCTCACTGACTGAGAGAACAGAGGAGAGATGCAGCCAGCAGCCATTTAACGAGTGCCTACTATACGCTCCAGGCACCTCGGTAACTCCAGCAGACCCGCCTGAGGAGTGGCTGCAGCTGTGCTTGCTGTATCCGTCTAGGCAGTGGAGATGGAGACCCCGGCTGTGTCTTCCCTTCCACCTCAGCTCCTCCTGTTTGGGAGGAAGCGCTGGGCAGGGCGGGAGACCTTTCCCAGGAATGCTATGTGCCTCTCTAGGTTGGAATGTCACTTAACAGTGTGCAAAGTTTGTGTGAGTGCAGTAATGTCGTTTGAATGCCATCCCAGCCCTGGGCAGAGGCATCCGCCACCAATCCACTTTCGGATGAAAAATCGGAGGCTGTGGGACAGGGGTGGGGAAACCGTACACGGCAGCAGCGAGTCTGTCACGGCTCCTTGGACAAGTCATGCCCCAATTTTAATAGGGGCACTATGGGGTTAACCCCATTTCCCCAGGCGCAGTGAACTCCTAGTATGCAGATTCCTGGGGCCAGGCACCGGGCATGTGCCAGTAACGTCAGTAAGTGTTTGCTGAGTGAATGAATGACGGCCAACACACAGCAAGCCCAGAGGAACTGTCTGCAGGTGCCAATAAGCACCAGCAGCTCCTCCACAAAACAAGGGGGTGCAGTGACTGATCCTCAGACAGGCTTTTGGTCTGGGGCAGATTGGACCACATCCAGGACCTCCACCCCCACCTCGCCCCGCTGCAGCCCTCCCTCCGTGCCGTACCTTGGATTGGGGTCTGCGGCTGGCTGCTGAAGTGGCTTGTGGTGCTGAGTGAGCCTCGGGGGCTGGGCGTGCTCGGTGTCACCCGCATGCGCAGCCGTTCCAGTTCCCCAAAGCGTTCAGGGAACGGCTTGGTCTGGTCCTCCAGCTTCTGCCGGTGCCCTGCAGAGCACAGGGAGCCCATCAGCTGTTGCTTCCTGAGTCTCAGTGGAGACAGAAATGCCTCACTCTGCTGGGAAGTTCTTCCTGAGGTCTGACCTTAGCTCTCTGCTGGGAGAACCCTGAGGTCACCACCGGCCTCTTTCCAGAGGTTTTCAAACGCCTTTCTGAACAGAGAATGGTTGTTATGTCCTGCCCCACATATCTAAACCTCAACAACACACTGTGATCTAAACTAAACCTCAACAACACACTGTGATCTAAACCTCTACAACACCCGGTGACCTAAACCTCAACAACACACTGTGATCTAAACCTCTACAACACCCGGTGACCTAAACCTCTACAACACGCAGTGATCTAAACCTCTACAACACACTGTGATCCAAACCTCTACAACACACGGTGATCCAAACCTCTACAACACACGGTGATCTAAACCTCTACAACACCCGGTGATCTAAACCTCTACAACACGCGGTGATCTAAACCTCTACAACACGCGGTGATCTAAACCTCTACAACACCGGTGATCTAAACTCTACAACACACTGATCAAACCTAAAACACGGTGATCTAAACCTCTACAACACCCGGTGATCTAAACCTCTACAACACGCGGTGATCTAAACCTCTACAACACACGGTGATCTAAACCTCTACAACACGCGGTGATCTAAACCTCTACAACACGCGGTGATCTAACCTCACAACCCCTCTCTAACCTACACACCCAGTGATCTAAACCTCTACAACACACTGTGATCTAAACTCAAAAAAATAAACTAACAACACCAGTGATCTAAACCTCACAACACCGTGATCTAAACCTCTACAACACCGTGATCTAACCTCTACAACACGCGTGATCTAAACCTCTACAACACCCGGTGATCTAAACCTCTACAACACGCGGTGATCTAAACCTCTACAACACCGTGATCTACCACCGGTGACCTCTACAACACCGTGATCTAAACCTCTACAACACCCGCTGCTCTAAACCTCTACAACACCCAGTGATCTAAACCTCTACAACACACTGTGATCTAAACCTCTACAACAACTGTGATCAAACCTCAACAAACCGGATCAAACCAACAACACCAGTGATCTAAACTCTACAACACGCAGTGATCTAAACCTCTACAACACACTGTGATCTAAACCTCTACAACACGCAGTGATCTAAACCTCTACAACACCCGGTGATCTAACCTCTACACCCGTGACAACCTCTACAACACCCGGTGATCTAAACCCTACAACCCTGATCAACCCACACCACGGTGATCTAAACCTCTACAACACGCGGTGATCTAAACTCACACACCGTGTCTAAACCTCTACAACACCCGTGATCTAAACCTCTACAACACACTGTGATCTAAACCTCTACAACAACTGTGATCTAAACCTCACAACACCCGGTGATCTAACCCACACACCCAGTATCTAACCTCTACAACACGCAGTGATCTAAACCTCTACAACACGCAGTGATCTAAACCTCTACAACACCCGGTGATCTAAACCTCTACAACACCGGTGATCTAAACCTCTACAACACCGGTGATCTAAACCTCTACAACACCGTGATCTAAACCTCTACACACCGTATCAACCCACACCGGTGACTAACCTACAACCCCCTCTACCTCACACACCCAGTGATCTAAACCTCTACAACACACTGTGATCTAACCTCTACAACACTGTGATCTAAACCTCACAACACCCGTGATCTAAACCTCAACAACCCGTGATCTAAACCTCTACAACACGCAGTGATCTAAACCTCTACAACACACTGTGATCTAAACTCTACAACACGCAGTGATCTAAACCTCTACAACACGTATCTAAATCTACAACACGCGGTGATCTAAACCTCTACAAACACGTATCTAAACAAACAGCAGTGATCTAAACTCTACAACCCGGTGATCTAAACCTCTACAACACCGGTGATCTAAACCTCTACAACACCGGTGATCTAAACCTCTACAAACATACAAACCTACAAACACTTGATCTAAACCTCTACAAAACGTGATTAAACCTTACAACACGCGTGATCTAAACCTCTACAACACGCGGTGATCTAAACCTCTACAACACGCGTGATCTAACCTACACACCGTGTCTAACCTACAACACCACCAGTGATCTAAACCTCTACAACACACTGTGATCTAAACCTCTACAACAACTGTGATCTAAACCTCAACAACACCCGTGATCTAAACCTCAACAACACCAGTGATCTAAACCTCTACAACACGCAGTGATCTAACCTCTACACACACTGTGATCTAAACCTCTACAACACGCAGTGTCTAACCTCTCAACACCCTGATCTAAACCTCTACAACACGCGGTGATCTAACCTACAACACCCGGTGATCTAAACCTCTACAACACGCGGTGATCTAAACCTCTACAACACACGGTGATCTAAACCTCTACAACACGCGGTGATCTAAACCTCTACAACACGCGGTGATCTAAACCTCTACAACACCCGCTGCTCTAAACCTCTACAACACCCAGTGATCTAAACCTCTACAACACACTGTGATCTAAACCTCTACAACAACTGTGATCTAAACCTCAACAACACCCGGTGATCTAAACCTCAACAAACCAGTGATCTAACCTCTACAACACGCAGTGATCTAAACTCTACAACACACTGTGATCTAAACCTCTACAACACGCAGTGATCTAAACCTCTACAACACCCGGTGATCTAACCTCACAACACCGGTGATCTAAACCTCTACAACACCCGTGATCTAACCTCTACAACACGCGGTGATCTAACCTCTACAACACACGTGATCTAAACCTCTACAACACCGTGATCTAAACCTCTACAACACCGTGATCTAACCTCACAACACCCCTCTAAACCTACACACCAGATCTAACTCTACAACAACTGATCTAAACCTCAAAACTGATCTAAACCTCAACACACCGTGATCTAACCTCAACAACACCCAGTGATCTAACCTACAACGCAGTGATCTAACTCTACAACACCGTGATCTAAACCTCTACCAACACCGTGATCTAAACCTACAACACCGGTGATCTAAACCTCTACAACACCCGGTGATCAACCTCTACACACGGTGATCTAAACCTCTACAACACGTGATCTAACCTCTACAACCCGGATCTAACCTTACACACCGGTGATCTAAACCTCTACAACACCCGCTGCTCTAAACCTCTACAACACCCAGTGATCTAAACCTCTACAACACACTGTGATCTAAACCTCTACAACAACTGTGATCTAAACCTCAACAACACCCGGTGATCTAAACCTCAACAACACCCAGTGATCTAAACCTCTACAACACGCAGTGATCTAAACCTCTACAACACACTGTGATCTAAACCTCTACAACACGCAGTGATCTAAACCTCTACAACACCCGGTGATCTAAACCTCTACAACACGCGGTGATCTAAACCTCTACAACACACTGTGATCTAAACCTCTACAACACGCAGTGATCTAAACCTCTACAACACGCGGTGATCTAACCTACACGGTGATCTAAACCTCTACAACACACTGTGATCTAAACCTCTACAACACACTGTGATCTAAACCTCTACAACACGCAGTGATCTAAACCTCAACAACACCCAGTGATCTAAACCTCTACAACACGCGGTGATCTAAACCTCTACAACACACTGTTTAGCAGAGGAGGAAACTGAGGGCCAGGTATAGTGGCTCACGCCTATAATTCCAGCACTTCAGGAGATTGAGGTGGGAGGATCAGTTGAACCCTGGAGTTCGAGATCAGCCTGGGCAACTACTGAGACCCCTGTCTGTATAAAAATTTGAAAAAAAAAAACAACTTAGCCAGGTGGGGTGGCACAAGCCTGTAGCCCCAGCTACTGGGAAGACTGAGGCAGGAGGATCACTTGAGCCCAGGAGGTGGAGGCTGCAGTGAGCTGATTGTACCACTGCATTCCAGTCTGGGCAACAGAACGAGGGCCCTAGATCTAAAAAAGGAAACTGAGGCAACACACATGAGACAGTGGCTCATGCCCCCAAGGGAGGCAGGGAGATAACCCAGGAGCACTGCCCACCTCTGCCTCCCAGCATCCCAGCCTGCCTTGCACACTGTCTCCCATGTCTACAAGAACAATGGGAGGTGGCCCCAGGATGGGACTGCAGGCTTTTCCAGCCCTAAGTCACTCAGGGATCCCCAGAACATGCCTTCTCTCTGGGCTTCCGGCAGAAAAAAACTCCACCAGGATGCTGGCCAGAGGTGTAGGGGGCTTGCGTGAGGGACTAGACGGCCATCTGTGCCTGGAAGCTGGGGTCAGGGACGAGATGTCACACCTGGAGAAAACTGCCAGCATTTCCCACTCCCTATCTGCCAGAGCCCACACAGGAAGAATCCCAGTCTCACATCCGAGGGCTCAGAGGTGCTGGGAGGGTCAAAGTGGCCAGGCCCCCACCCTCCTGCAGCCTGCTGAGGCCGAGGGACACTTCTGGAGTGACGTCAAGCTTGCAGGGACCTCCCCTGCCACACACACTTTTTTAATTACTAATTTTACATTTCACAAGCAACATACGAATATTTACAAAAATAAAAGCATTACAGATAAGGCTGTTTCCACCCCTCTAAGCTCCTCTCCAGAGTCCCCACTGTGACCAGTTTCTTTCCAGACATTTTTCATCTTCCAGGAATGGAAAACGCAGAGTAAGTTTCTCATGGAACTCCCTTGAACGGTCTCAGCCTGGGCATGTCATTCTGTAACTTGCTTTTTTAGTAGCACACCTTGGAGCTCAAACTCAGTATCTGCAAAATGGCGAGGATGACACTGCTATCCCTCCTTCCTGCTGGCCACTGGAGGTACAGTTCACTCCGCTGTCCCCTCCACTCACACTTCAGTTCTTCCCAAGCTTCCCCTTTAGTTCCCTTACACACCATGCTCCCCGGAACGTCCCTGTTCACACCCCCCAA